TAATCCATAGGTTTTTAACGTCTATGTATAAAAAAAATGATTGAATTTATAATCCATAATTCCATTTTATGTAAAAATCGGAGAGCAAATGCTAGCTGCTAATGGTAGCCACCACAGCTAGCTGCTGCTTCTGCTAGGCTATGCAGCAGTCTCAGTGAGATATAAATATATAAATATCTTTGCGTTTTGGACTAACTTTAAAATATTCCCATGCTTTTGAAGACCTAGGGCGAGATGTTTTCGTTTGGGGGCTTCGTGCGCAATCCTGTGAGGAGGAGGTGGTAGCCGTTTCAGTCTCCATTGTGTTTGAAGTGCGATTGCGAACTGCTTGTTGCTTTGGGTGACCCACGTGTGTGTAGCGACGCGTCGACGCGGAAATATGTCGTCGACGATATTTTGAAGTCGACGCGTCAACGTCGTCGACGCGTCGCTACGGCACTACTGTCCACACTTAATAATGAAAACATAAAAGCTATTGATTTTAAGCTAAGAGATATATTAATAAAGCAGCTATATCCCTATAATGCTTTAGATTTCATTTTGTACAGGTCATTTTTGTTGTTCAAGTTCTACATTGAACATCATAACAGATGTTTGAGACCAAAGCATAGCTGTTTTCACAAGTTATGGACCTATTTTGAACAGGGAAAGCCTGCCTGTGTTTTTTCTCGCTACATCGTCCTTTGATCAGCACATCTGAAGTGTATAACGTGGATTATCCTGTGTCTTTCATCCTCCCTGTCACACTCCATTGCATACTGTCCAGCACAGCTCAAACACCTTACACATCATCTGGCTTCATAAACAGAGCCGATGCATCGTTAGCCTCCAAACGTAGCTTCTACCAACTCCTACACAATCTGCAACTCTCTAGGAATTCTCTTTTTGCCTATTTTGGTTTCTCTTTTGCTGACACCTTGTTCCTGTCTTCTAAAGTGTTGACATACTCTTCCCTCTGCAGTCCTCCCTCTCTCCTCCTTTGTTTGATCTGTTTCCCTCCCTTTGTCTTCCAGACTAAACATCATGTCTGCGTTCTGACTGAGGAACTGCGTCTGCATTCTGTATTTCTCTCGTGTTAAGTCAAGGTATTTCACTCATTGATTGCTATGACTGCTCACATTCACTATCAAATTAAAAGGTGTGTTTATAATCCAAAAAAGAATACGGCAACAGTTAGGAGAGTTCCCTCTCATGTTTTAACATGAAAGCATTTCCTGTTGAAAAAGAAATGGCTTTTCCAGTTTGGTGACGAAGAACTGACTTCAACTAGGGCTGTACCGAGTGAAGAGAAATATGGGAATGTGTTGAATATTGCAATTGCAATGAATAATCTGATTAAAGTGTACTTTACTTTCTGCTGCTTTCAATATTCTGCTCAAATACAACACATTGCAAGCTGAATGATTGTTTTAATAATAATGGCTTATATGTGTATCAGGCAAAAAATGTTTACTACAGTATACTTAATGTGCAATATCGTAGTCTTTTGCACATTTTTATCCTGTCAATTGACATTGTGATGATTTATTGTGTAGCAATACAATCTTTGGAATAAACTCCAAAGCTAAAACAAAAAACAAGAACAGACAAGACTTTTGAGAGCTGCAGATTGATGGTTTGTAATGTCTTGGAGTCGTCATACCTTTGGCCATAAGCCATGTGGCATTGCTAATAATAGAGATAATCAGGGTTCCCATCGCTTCAAGTTCCTAAACATCAAATGTGAGGTCTTTTCAGGCAGTTTCCTTCAATTCAATGACACAGCATAACTGAATCATGTTAAAGGGCCCATGTCATACATTTCTGGTTATCACCCGTCCCCTTGTTGTTATGTAGCTTTTTCTGCATGTAAACGGTCTGCAGAGTCACACACCCTCAAAGTACACCCTGTAGCGAGTAAAACCCTAATACAGAAAAGACCAGTCTATGCTGCCCCAGAACGCCTCGTTGGGGATTTCTCTTTTTCCATTGTTTACTTCCTGGGTACAGTGACGTGCCCATACCCAGGTCCAAATGGACCAATCCACGGAGCTCCTCACACACACACACTCACTCAGCCTTATCTTTTCTCAGGCTGTAAATGTGTGGCGAACAGCCTGGCTGTGTGTGTGTGTGTGTGTGTGTGTGTGTGTGTGTGTGTGTGTGTGTGTGTGTGTGTGTGTGTGTGTGTGTGTGTGTGTGTGTGTGTGTGTGTGTGTGTGTGTGTGTGTGTGTGTGTGTGCTCAGGCTGAGTTCCGCAGTGTCTCGCTGTCTCGCAGACCCCACGCAGCAACCAGGAAACGACCCCAGTAAGCCAGCTCACACTGTCCCCTCCTCACAGCAGCGAGCCCCGCAACGTCCCAGCACGGCACCCAGACCCCACGCAGCATTCTCATCTGTTTGTCATTACTGGTGTCATTTTCTGGTTGCTAACAAACACCATTGTAACACATAAACACTGATGTTCCGCTGTAACGGTGGTGGACTCATCAGAACAGAGTGGGCGAGCTGACCAATCAGAGCACAGTGGGCTCACAGGGAGGGGGGGGGGGGGGCAGGAGCTCCAACGAGCCGTGTAGGACAGAGAGTGAATACACATACTATAGAGAGATGCTGTATGAGAAACCAATGTGAGTTTGGAACATTGAACAATGTAAATCTATTCTAGTAGACCTCAACGATGGAATTATGATCAGTAGAAATGGCCGTGACATGGGACCTTTAAAGGTTGCTTATGGTCACACTTTCTCAAGGCAGTTGGTGCATTCAATGACCCATGTCCATTTTCAAAAACTTTTAAAGCCAGGCTTCTTTAGCTTTTTCGAGGAGCTAAGATCTTCGTATAACTCTGCAAAACTACTGTAAGATATTTTACTATTACATCCAACTATTACTACTAGAATACTTTAAATAACACTCACTTATAGTACAACTATACCAAAACTATAATGAATTCAAAAAGACTAGTACATATTATGTTATTACTGGTATTTAACCTGGCCTCTTGAGGCTCACTGAGGACAGAGCGTCATTTCAAGTTAGCTGCATGGTGAGTAAATGTCTGATGACACCCACGTGAACCCATCCCACACATAATGAGAGGAAGACATTACGCACAGTGTTCTCAATTACCTTCTCCTCTAAATCTAAGACTGGAAAATCATAATAAGCCTGTCAAGATATCTACATAACCGGCAAATAAAAGTAGCCTCTAAATAGATCTTATGTTGTGAAAACAGGCCGAGGAGTCATTGAGTCATGCTTCTTTTAAAAGTCAGAATACAAATAGTTCTGCACAAGGTTTGGTATTTTCAAGAGACAGGAAGTCATGTTATCATCTTAAAACTTTTTTTAAGTTGGCTATTGATTGATATTTATCAGACCATGGTGAGTCCAACCATGCACATGTTTCTTAGTCTTGATTTAAGCTGTGTAAACTAAACCCACATGAAGTCCTCTTGCTTTGTGAGCAAAAAGGCGTGCTTCTATTATGAATATTTTAAATTCAAGGCTTTTATTGGTCATACGAACAGCTACAGTGTAGTTATGACGATGACAATCTTAGGTCACAGGCTCCTCCAACAGTGCAACAAAAATAAAACAGAAAAAATAGTGCAAGTAAATACAAAAAGAAAAATTGTAAAATAGTAAAAAAGTGCTGTAGTGCAATAAGAGTCTATATGCAAGTGATTGAATATGTAAGGGATAATGTGCAGCGAGGCGGTCATTATGGGGAAAAGAACACTCATGAGTCAGCCCTGCTCCTGACCTCAGCTGGACACACACACACACACACACACACACACACACACACACACACACACACACACACACACACACACACACACACACACACACACACACACACAGCTTTCATCTAGATGACCTTTCAGTGTTGTGACTGTACCAGCATGTGTGTTTCCCCAGTGGGAATAGCACTCCAAACCCGGGAAATGCCTTGCAAAAAGCACACACAGTTACAAACCAAAAAGCACACTCATATATAAAACACATACACAAGGATTTCCCGGATGCGACCACACACATGCAAGTGGACGCGCGCACATACGCACGCGCGCGGGCAGACGGCTAGACACCCGTCTGGCTTTGCTCGAATGACGAAGCGGCGACAAAACTTCCAACTCCCCCCTTTCCCACCGAACAAACACACCTTTTCCTCTGATATCCAGCTTTCCATGTCCTCAACTGTAACTTCCTGGTAGTTTAAATATACTTAAAGTTGTATTTTTACCCTTAAAACCCAGTGGAAAGGCGGAGTATGTTCAAATGAAGCAAGCTGAGATCAGACACAACGCCAGCGGCTGCGAAACCCCAACCGAAAAATAACACTTTTTGTCAAACTAGGCTTTCAAAGTGAACAAAACAGATATAATAAACATGGGTATGATATTAATGAGGCAACAAATGCTGTTTAAACAATCCGGCTGTAAGGAAAGAGATGGGAAGCTGGCAGTTTTGGCTCAAGTTCAAATCAAGCCTTATTAAACGGGTTAAAGGTTCACTGAGGAGAAAACATTACGTAGCCTATTTTAAAGAGGCTAGCATGTGACCTAACATAATATTGTGTTGGGCAATCTTATTGTAGAGACAGAATTTAAACGGGGAGAAACAGAGATAATGACACAGAAAAAGGACCCGAACAAGACTCGAACCCGGGTCCTCCGCATGGGGACCGAGCCCCAGTTCATGGGCCGCCATGAACAGAAGTTTGTACACAAGCTGTACAACGTTAACACATACTCAGCTCACCTACAAGATTTACGAGATTCAAAATGAAAGAGTGGACACATTTTGTGATGTTTCATGTCACTGAAACACAGCCCGACATCGCCTATGGCAAAAAGTGACACCCAAAAAACGAAATGAAGACAATTTGCTCCTTCTTTCTGTATTTGTGAGGAGCCCAAGTACAGAAACGAGTGTGTAGCTTGACAGTTTCGATTTACAGACATAGCTAAAGTGAATGAAAAACACAAGAAAAGTGAATGTAAGTTACTCACTGATTTCCATGCTCTGGAGGGAGGTGTAGCGCTTGCAGTTACATGTACAGGAGACATTGGCGGTGGCGTTTAAAACACCCATCAAGTTCATTTAAAGCCTCCTGAAGTCAACCATTAGGCTTTTTCTCCAGACAGGGGAAAAGGCTGGAGGAGAGGAGCCCAAAAAACAACACTACGCCAAACTCCCCCCCAAAAAATCCTCCCTTTTTTCTCTCCAGCCTCCTAGGGTCTCCTCTCCGTCGTCCTCCTCCTGTTTCGGTTCTCTCCTCCTCCTCGCTCCGGTTTCTCCTCCTCTTCCTCCGAAATGTATATATTTATCTGCCTATCTATCTGTCGGCCTACCGCAGAAGTGCCGGTACAGCCGGGTAGGCTACATGTAGTTTGAACGCAGCTAAGCTAAAAACATGTCGCTGAAACTAGTTTAAATGTCCGGTTCCGTCCGTTAGAGTTTTAATGGATCCGTGTTTTCAGCCGAGTGACCGGCGACTAAACTACTAACGGACGTCGGTCTGCTCCTCTCTTTCTCCCTCACCCCTTCCCTCTCTCTCTCTCTCTCTCTCTCTCTCTCTCTCTCTCTCTCTCTCTCTCTCTCTCTCTCTCTCTCTCTCTCTCTCTCTCTCGCTCTCTCTCTCTCTCTCTCTCTCTCTCTCTCTCTCTCTCTCTCTCTGTCTGTCTCCAGGGATTTCTCAGTGTCACTCCCCCCCTCCTCCCCCCTCCTCTCTGTCTGGGTCTGTCTCTCATTTCCAATTTCCACTTGCCTTTTTAGCAAACACAATCCCTTCAAAGCCGACAGAGAGGAGCAAACAGCAGATAGGCCTACAGACAAATAAAGTATTACTACAAGTCGATGAATTGACGAACAATAACACTTTAATCATCAAAGTAGGCCATTGTGTTGTTGTTTTCAGACACACAATTTAGTTGTATGCATGCATATCTTTTTGGCAAATCACAATCCTGCATAAAATAGACTTGCAATTATTTGGTCGATAAGTCAATCAAAATGATCGCTGACCATTTCATAATTAAAGTATTTTGTTGCAAACATTTGGTTTACAGACTCTAAGATAACCTAATGATGTCCTTTATCTGAACATATTTGGGTTTTAGGCATACAGACATCACCTTGGGCTAGAAAATAAGAACATAAAGATAAATAAAACATGAGGAACAATTACATTTTATATATTTTTTTTTATTTAAAAGCTTTAAATTCAATCCAATGGCACTAAAGAAAGACAAACTCTATTTATATTATTATGATGTAGCGTAATGTATCTGCAGCATCCCCCCCTCCTCTCTCTCTGTCTGTCTCTAATTTCCACATGCCTTTTTGGAAAATGAGGAGAGGAGGAACAGCAGATAAAGACAAATAAAGTATAACTTCAAGTCGACTAGTCAATTAATTAAGAAACACTTAAACTAACGCTTTAAACATTATATGCTTTTTTTTGTGAAAAATGCAGTAAATGCTGTTTTCAAACTCTATGATAGCCTATAAAGATTTCCTTTATCCAAACATATTTGGGTTTTAAACAAATATTTTATGCATTTCTATCACATATTTTCTCAGAGGACCTTCCCACTCTGTACATTCAAGACCTTAAACTTCAAAATCCAATTAAATGGCATAAAAGAAAGAACAAAAACTGTAATCTTTTATGATGCCTTCCTCCTGACGTATCTGCAGCATTCCCTCCCCCCTCCTCTCTGTCTGGGTCTGTCTCTCATTTCCAATTTCCACTTGCCATTTTAGCATTTCCACTTGTTTCTTTGAACATGTTCACTCTGCAAAGTCATACATGGAAGAGGATAAAATAACAGATGAATGAAAAATAAAGTAGAGTTACGATTATTAGTCGATGAATCAATCAAAAAGGACTTTCAACAGCAATTATTTGTGCAAAAATGGCTCTCTCAGATGGCATTTAAAGATCTCCTTTGGGTTTCGGACATAATAGACACCACCTTACACAAACACATTCTTATTTTATACATTTAAACTTCAACTTCAACATCCAGTAATGGCAACACACAATATTTACAGTTTTGCATTTATCCATTAAGAAAAAACAAGCTTTCAAATCTAATCATGATGCTGATAGCAAGCACTCTCTCTCTCTCTGTCTGAATCATTCCCTCATTTCCAGTTTTAAGTTTTGTCTTTTTGGCAGATCACACCCATGACAATGCAAACAGAGTGAAAGAAACATCTGATAAAAACTACAAGGATTAGTCAACTCATAGATAAAGTCATTCAAAAATAATCGCCATTATTTCATATTCAAAGCTATTTTTGTGCAAAAATGGCAGCAGCAGCCATTGCATGAACTTGATGACATGTCCATTTTTCTGATTAAGCGTAATTCACTAATCTGTAGTCCTACAAAATGCAAGGTTTTGAACATCAAAAAGGCACTAATAGCAACTATTATCTACTTTTTGTATTGTGGACAATAGTCTACATCTGCTGAGAGCTCATTAAAGCAACAGCAGATCGAACTGCAACGATAAGTCATCTAATCAATTAGCCAATCAAAAACAATAGCCAATTATTTCAAATAACCCAAGACCTTCAAATCAAAACATTCTCTTCTGCTAAATATCTTTGAGTTTTGGAAAGTTTGTGCCAAAGGACTGTTCTTGCAAGACCTTGAAAATGAAATGACATGCCAACAGACGTTCAAAGTTTTGCATTTATCCATGAATGACCAGCTTGAAAAGCACCGGGTTTTCCTGTTCACACCGCAGCGGAGCAGCCTCTTAGCTCCGGAATCCGGTTCGTTTCAAGCACCAACAAATTGTCCGGCTAGAGCAAAAGCACCGCATACGTCACGCTTACGTCGAGGCGGGGGCAGGGCTGGGATCAACTCCTGAACAACAACAAAAAGCCCGCGTTTTATCCAGTTTGTACACAACGATGGAGAAACTGATGCAGTTTTTAATGTAGCATGTAACGACTGTAAAGTTGGTAGTAAAGTCGTCCCATTTCTTCCATTTCGTTTCGACAGAGCAAAACCAAAACGAGTAGCGCTTCAACACAATCGGCCATTGTTGTTGTTGTCGGTGTGAGCTGTGAGGGGTTTCCGCGCGGTTTGGCTTTATGAAGCATGACGCAATGACGCAGCACCAGTCATACTCTGGGCGGTGTGAACAGAGCGGGAGCTGAACCGAAGAACCGGTTCTGAACCTGAAAAGCTCTAGCACGGATCTAGAACCGGAGTTGCGTTGGTGTGAATGAGGTATATCCCTATTTACTTCCATTGTGAAGTTGAGGAGTGTTTGAAAAAAATATAGGTATAAGCAAGAATTTTGCCCCCATTTTGTGGCGGTCTCTAATGAAAGCCCAAATAAGGGTGGACTGTACTTCAGTGTAGCTTCATGTCTTGTGACAGAACATGAAAACAGCGTATAATATATGTATGTGACAAAATATGTGGCCATAATATAAGCCACATCAGCAGAATATGCCTTAATGACATGCAGGCTAAACACATTAAACACTAAGTCAATACATATATATATATATATATATATATATACATATTATGTTTTACATATAAATACATTATACAACAGTGTGTATAGATATCCAGTCTCTTAATGCATTATAAACTAAGTACGTTTACTCAAGAACTGTACTTAAAGGTGGGGTAGGTAAGTTTCAGAAACCGGCTCGAGATACACTTTTTGTTATATTCCATGGAATGCTCTTAACATCCCGATAGCAATGAATATCTTAAGTGCTTTGACAAAAAATCCATAAAAAAATTTCATCTGTGGAAGCCGTAATACTGTAAAAAGCACGACCAATCCGTTTAGCCGGGCCCGGCTAAACGGATTGGATTGCCGCCCTGTCTGCCAGCCTTCCATCTCGTGCACGCACAAATGTATCTCGTGCCGTCATTGGGCGTGCATTGCAGCAGTACTTCAATGACTCGCCAGCAACAGGCGGCCACTTTCACCAGTCTGCTGACGTCATGTGCACGTTCATGTGTGTTGGAGGAGGTGCTCTGTAAGGAAGTCTGAAGAAAGGGGCGGATTCTTTTCGGCTGTGTACTTTCAAATTTTAGTGCACTCGAGCCGGTTTCTGAAACTTACCTACCCCACCTTTAAGTATAATTTGAAGAGACTTATGCTTTAATAAAGTATTTCCATTTCCTGCAATGTTAAAATTCCACAGAATGTATCTGACAGCTGAAGTGAAATAGAAGTTAAAGATAACACTTTATTGATTGCTTGTTAAAATTCATAAGCTAGATGCTAGATGGTAGCATATCAAATCTAGGCATCAATACATATAATTCATAAAATAATGTATATTATTCACCTCTGTAGTTGTGTACTTTTACAAGTAAAATAAGTACAATTTTGAACGAAGGTCTTTTGGACTTTGAAACTGTATTTCGGTATTACTCTCTCAAAATATTGAACGTATTAGTGTGTGTGTCTGTAGTGTTCGTGTGTGTAGTGTGTGTGTGTGTGTGTGTGTGTGTGCGTGTGTGCGTGTGTGTGTATGTGTGTGTGTGTGTGTGTGTGTGTGTGTGTGTGTGTGTGTGTGTGTGTGTGTGTGTGTGTGTGTGTGTGTGTGTGTGTGTGTGTGTGGCCTAGCATTACTATACTTGTGGGGACCTACATCTGTTTACACAGTCACGTGTGGGGACTCGCCTCCCTTATGGGGACAAAATGGAGGTCACCATGAGGGGAATCATTAATTTTATGGTGAAGACTTGGTTAGGTTTAGGATTAGGATTAGGGTTAGAGTTAGGGTAAGGTTAAGGTTAAGGGTTAGGGTTAGGCGTGTGTTGGTTATGGTTAAGGTTACGATAAGTCTCCAGGAAATGCATGTAAGTCAATGTAATGTCCCCTGAAGTAATGTATACATGGTATGTGTGTGTATGTGTGTGTGTGTTTGTAGTGTGTGTGTGTGTGTGTGTGTGTGTGTGTGTGTGTTCCAGACAGCATTACATCACCCCCCTGATTGACAGGCCCGAGGGACCAATAAGGCGAGACTGTAACAGTGTGTCTCATCTGAGTCAACTCTCTAATGAGTCTGCTTCAGTTTATAGCTGCATGTTAGACACGTTTTACTGCCCAGCTGGACTCTCCAAAGCCTAATCCTGAATAAAAATAAAAAGATACCAAGGTTGGTGTGAACAGAAACAAAAAACATGTCAAAAAAGTGAAATTGTTATGCAAAAAAACAATCTCTGAACTGATCAGGAATCAGTTCAGAGACTTGCTCACTGTGGCAGGGCATACCCCTCCTGGGACCCAGACCCAATAAAATAATTCAAGTTTTCAAATAACAGCCCTTTTATAAATGTCCATTCTAGTGGACGTCAGGACCATCTTCATGGACTTAATGACTCAATATTGTTGCAGGAGACGGAACTGGGGTTACGTACTATAACCCAGTTTCTATGAGTATAGGCGCAGCCCTCTAAGGCTATCGCTATTGGGTAATCCCACTGCACGTGTACTGCACTGACAGACTTAATCCACGCCCACCTATGACGTGGGCCCCACCTA